TTCTAGTCAGCCAAATATGACCCAAAACCTTCTCATACCAACACAGAAAGAACGCACCTCTGAAGCCACATGAATTTTAAAAGGCTGCAGGAACATGCTTCAGGCTCTCACTGGTTTCCAGCAAGAGGCTTCTGGCCAGCCAAATACGACCCAAGTTCTACATCACAGCAAACACAGAATACCTCAGCACAACAAATTGACAGAAGGCTGCTATACAATTTAGAGAAATGTTCCTCCAAAATATAGTAACAAGGGATTAAAATATAGTCCCTTTGGCCCCCAAGAAGGCTTAAATAAAAACAACAAAACAATCCACACAGAACCTCAACCAAAACAAAAGAGCCCATCTTACAGAGTCCTGCCGCTTCATCCAACTCCAAAATGGAGACAAAAGATTGGCGTTATATGTTGTGCTTCTCAGAGGGGTTTGCTTCCCATATTTTGAGCATGTTCTCAGGTGGGGCTAGTCCTTGGAAAAAGACATCATTCTGGGAAAGACAGAGAGTCAAGAGCAAGAGGAAGCCTCTCAAGGAGACGGGCTCCAGCCAGCATGCCGGAGGATGCTGTAGGATAGGGAGACTCTAAACTGCTGTTCAGGGGGGTGCTCTGGGCCACAGAGGACTCAGACTCACTGCTGTGGAGGTGGCTCTGGCTCAGAGCTGACCCTCCACGGGGTTTCCACGGCAGTAAAGCACACAGGATGAGACCGTCCATTTTTTATCTTCCAAGAGCAACTAGTGAATTTGAACTGTCCAAGAAACATGGCCAACCCCAATGGATTAGCAGCACCAGCCACTGTGGACTATGCCACCAGAGTGCCCTTAATGACTAATGCTCATGGCGACACTCCTCTGGGCTCCTGAAGTTCTAAATCTTTATGGGAGGAGAAGGTCTACCCTTCTCCCTTGCAGCAGCTGGTGCATGTGAAGAACCCTATCTTTCTGTTGACAGTGTAACATACTATCACCAGATCCTAGTTAGCACAAACCAACAACTATATCTATATAGCTATAGATATATCTATATATAGATATAT